ATACAGCGGCTCATAATGACTCCTATACTGCCGCTGCGAAGCTTATATGAGGATTCATGCTGCCGCTGAGCGGTTCGCGGCTGGTGGGGGCACACTCGTGGCTCTGAGACGATGCTTCAACAGGCTGCTTAGGTGCTTGACGGGAGGAGGCTGCAAAAAATGCTTCAAGATGCTTAGACGGACCTTTGTGTCACAGCCTCTGGTCAAAGCTGATCGTATCCCCTAAACCCAATCTCACTATTCCGACCTAAGACCACATGCCTCGGCTGGATTGTCCGAGTGTGATCGCCGAAACCCAATTGTCCGAGTGTGAGCGCCGAAACCCTATATATAAGCCCTGTAAACCAAGCGTCGTGTCTCCGCCAATGCCGCGTCGTATCCCCCCCACCCTCCGCGTCGCATCCCCCCCAAGCTGCGTGGTATCTGCGCCAGGCCGCGTCGTATCCCCCCCACGCCGCGTCGTATCCCCCGCAAGCCGCGTCGTATCCCGCCCAAGCGGCGTCAGGTCGCGTCGTATCCCCCCCACGCCGCGTCGTATCCCCCGCAAGCCGCGTCGTATCCCGCCCAAGCGGCGTGGTATCTCCGCCAGGTCGCGTCGTATCCCCCCCACGCCGCGTCGTATCCCCCGCAAGCCGCGTGGTATCCCCCCCACGCCGCGTCGTATCCCCCGCAAGCCGCGTCGTATCCCGCGCAAGCCGCGTCGTATCCCGCCCAAGCGGCGTGGTATCTCCGCCAGGTCGCGTCGTATCCCCCCCACGCCGCGTCGTATCCCCCGCAAGCCGCGTCGTATCCCGCCCAAGCGGCGTGGTATCTCCGCGATTGCGACTTCCACTCCACTATGTGACGCACGAGCAATTGGCAAGAGAAGCACATGATAGTTGTTTTCATGGTCGTGCTGCCAGGGCTGCACATCACTAGTTCAGCTCAGCACGCAGGCCCATGATTCCTCGGCTTGGGTTTGCAGTTCATGTTAAAATACAGGGATTTGCATGACATGCCAATGCGGTTGCGTGCTGCACAGCCACCCAGAGAATATGATCGACGAGGCCAGGTTACAGTTAGCAACCTCACAAGTGTTCCAGACTCAGATGAATCGCGCACAAGTTGTCATGCACACAAGGGAGAGGCCACGCTTCATCCACACGTCGTTGATGCCTGCGAAGAGGATTCCGACAGGGAGCGGGAGGGCTCAGGCAGCGGGTTCAATAGAGGGAGGGTGCTTTCAGGGCAACTGTGTGTGTGTGTGTCGATTTTATTTGATTTTGCTGCTTGATAGTCGGCGCTGAGCAAGTGCCGCTCTTATAAATTGTCTTGTTCGGCGCTGAACACGTGCCGTTTTCTACAGACTTCATGTTCGGCGCTGAGTGCCGTTGTTTTCTGTTTTGCGCCGTTTGCTGTTTTGCTCGTCGGCACTATTTGGAAAATGTCCACGACTGCTGCTGGCATTTGGCGCCAGGTGCAGCTAAGCCTAGGCAGCAACCTCAGTAAAGGTCCTAAGCCTTTGCCAGAAATGGGCCGCAGGGCAAACACAACAGGTGAGACGTGGCTCAAGACGTAGAGCACGCAGTGGGACGGCTTCAAACGGAGGGGCAAAGTAGTGATAGAGAAGTGGGTATGGACGCCGCCCGCCGCGAAGAAGCCTAACAATGCGATGAAGGCCATGAAGGCGACGAAGACCAAGAAGGCCGTGACAGTGAAGTCGATGAAGACCAAGAAGAAGCCGCACAAGCGCCCGGCGGCGATGAAGGCGATGAAGGCACTGAAGGCGATGACGGCCATGAAGACCAAGACTGGCATGAAGGCTGTGAGGACAATGTCCGACGACTGAGGATGGATGAATCTGGAGCTGCTTGCCGGATGGATGGCCCCGGATGTGGAGCAAACAAAGCGTGCTGACAAGAACACACGTTTGTTCGGCCGTTGGTTGTTGTCATTGTTATGTTCGGCGCTGAACAAGTGCCGTTCCGGTAGAGTTTCAATAACTTGCATGAGACCTTGACGACATGCTCTGAACCCATAAACAGTGACAATCGCGAACCCTTTCAACGACAGGACCTCGACAGACGTCAACGACAGGACCTCGACAGACGCTCCTGGCCTGTTGGCTGCCAGGCTGCTCGGGTCAGATGGGGCTTCGTTCAACGAGCTTTGCCCTAAACCCCAATTTGGTGTCTCAGGCTTCGGGTTTCTTGGGTCGGTGCGCTAGGTTCGCAGAGCTTGTGAGAAGTTTTAGACTTCACAAGCTTGTATCACTACGTCTTATGAGTCTTGTCTGGTTGGGTTGCCGGGTTCTGGGAGCTGTCGGCGCGAGCTCAGCAAGAAGCCAGGGCATGGTGTTCGAAAAGGCTTGTGCGCTCTGTCTGCCGCATCGCCCAGACTTCTTTCGTGTGACATCTTCTGAGCGTTGATGTGACTTGCCGGTGTCATTCGTTGATGTGACTTGACGGTGTCATTCCTGCCACCAGGCGGCGAGGAGTTTCTCGGCTCCGTCGACTCCGCCGATGGAGCTGCCGCCGCAACGAGCTCTGGAACAGCCCAAAAGCAACCCCCCTCTCCCGGCCCGGGAGAGGGGGGTTGCTTTGAAACAGAATGCGGGCCCCTTTTTGGGTTGTGTCCGGAGCTGGCTAACAACACTCCGGGTTGGTTGGCGTAGGGTTTCGGCGCGGTGCTGTGACCATCTGTACCAGGACATAGACAGCCTACAAGGCGAACAACCCAAGCCACAGGAACAGGAAGCAATGTAGTTTAGGCCCCAGGGGAAGTGGTACCCGGATCTTTCTGGCCAGGTGGTCTGGGCCCCAGAGGGAGTGGTACCCGGACCTGTGTGTAATTTGTGTCGTCTACCCTCTCCATTGTCCTGCGAACAACTCAAGCGACAGGATGCAAGCAACCGCAGCAGATCCTCGAGGTTCGTGTTGATGGTTCCTGGTGACAGACCCTCTTTGGAGCTGAAGGTTGGGCGTAGGCTGTCGGCCGGAAGCCGCGGACCCCGAAACCCCGACCCCGAACTACGAAACAGCATCCCGAACCTCAAAGCAGATGCACACCCAACAACGTAACAGAGCAGGAGTCCCCAAAAAGGAGAGACTTAAAACCCCTAAACCTTAACCGCCGCAGGCTGACCACCGCATGCTCCGCTCGCTGCGTATCGCCGGAAGCGCTGGCAGGGCTCGAGCGGGGTTTCGCTTTGATTGGCTCGGGATTTGATCGGATTGCGACACGGTTCGATTTAGGCACGTGTCGATGGGGTTCTGGTCAAGGAAGCTGGCACTGCAGTAGCTGTCCGGGATACTTTCGTGGTTACTGTCGGGGGTCAGGGAGTGCGGGGTTGCTGTCGTTGCTGTTGGGGTGCACGAAGAGCTGTGGGGCGCATAGGGTCACTGCAAGGAGGTACTCTCGAGGTCCAGGGCATAAGGCACGGGCATAAGGCACCCATAGCACAGAAGCCCAAAAGCCACCCCAACTCCACGGGCCACACCCCAATCCGAAGCCGGTCTCACGTGCCGCTTTCCGAAGGTCCGCCAAACCGCTTGCCGTCTCTGGAGTCTGTGTGCTGCTGGACTGCAGGACCGTGCTTTTCAGGGCTGACGTCCGGGATGAGGTGCTGCAACGGTTTGTTCGGATTCACAGCATTTCGTGGTGTGTGTGAAGACCCTCTGGGGCGCGAGGCATGCGGCAAAGCACGTCTCCGGGACTTCCCTGAATGTCTTGCTACTCAGTCGGCCGGGGTTTTGCCACAATCGAGGTTCGGACCCCCCGGGGAATCCGTGCGTGAGTAACGACGCTCAAACCTCGGAGCAAAAGCCCCCCGCACTCCGAGGACACTCCGACCGCAGGCATCTGCTGCCGATTCGTGCCCGCGGTCTTCGGGCCGTCACGAGGCGCCCCAACTCAGTCGAGGGTGTCAGGTTTCGGGTTCCGTTCCGTGTCGGTGGTCAGTTTGGGGCATCGTGTTTCAGTGCAGAACTTTGCGCTGTAAAACCTCTAGCACCTGACGTGTGTCTCACCTCGAAAACCTGAAAAGAGAGCTACGACAAGTCACATGGGAAGGCATCGCGGCATGGACCCGTGGCCTAAAAGCAAACCCCTTCTCCCGGGCCAGGAGAAGGGATTTGCTTCAGGATACCGCCTGCCGTGTGCCTGCATCTGGGCCCAGGGGAAGTGGTACCAGGACCTTTCTGGGTAATCCAGAGTGTGTTGCCCACGCCAGTGCGCAAGCAGCGATAGAGTTCAGAACGTAGCCCTAGACCCCCGCCCCAGTGTGCCGGATGCCTTGGCAGCATCAGGACAAGACGCCACATTTCAGGTTAGCATTTCCAGTGTCCTCCTACAGCTGCTTTTCCACGAAAGCCCCCGAGCCGCGACTTCCATCGACATCCTGAAACTTAAGACCTCCAACCTGAACCCGCTGCCCTGACGCCCTTAGAGCCTGCAAGCCAAAACCCCACGCTTCCCAGACCTTCTCCAGCACTCCGAGGACTCGCAGACCACGAGCATCTGCTCCCAATGGTGCAGGCCGACCTTGTCAAGGAGACCTCGCATTTCAGTTTAGTGTCAGGTTCGGGGCCGTGTGGCGTTTGGGGTTTTAGGGTCGCTGAGGGACATCGTGCTTTCAGTACGGGGTTTTAGTCATGTGAGGCTGGAGTCGCGGATGGACAAGGAAGACCTTGTAGTCACACTGGCTTCCAGCAACCACAGAAACCCACCGGGACTACAGGTTCATATTGCAGCGGCCGCAAGTAAGCGGTCACATGTTTGCGTTTTGTCCCGTTGCGGATAGTGTCCGGCAAAACCCAATGCGGGCGACGAGGTTCCCCAAACCTAGAATTGTCCAGCGCCTGTGACCCTGAGCCTCTCCTGGAACCGAACCCGACGCGTAGGAGTAGACGGAACTCCCGCTGTGTTTCTACAGACTCAAGTCCGAAAAGCTACTTTTCTTTTGGAAACCCTTTCTCCCGTGCCCCTGCCCGCGCACCTGCCCCCTTCCCCTGGTTGGAAACATGCTTGCGGCCCGGCAGCCATGTGCATACTGGTGCCTCCAGAACGAGATCGGACAGCAGCTGGACTTTCTTGCGCGCTGCCTTGTTCTCCGTGCCCTTCTGGATGTTGGGGACGTGGTGCCCGAGGAGCTGCGGTCGCACCCTTGCCCCCTGCGGGCCCGTGGAAAGGAGCTTCGGGCACAAGCTGCCTGCGAAAGCGTGGTGTCGGGCATGGGGTGTGCTTTCGTCTGCTTGGCATCGGCAGCGACGAGTCGTGCGACGAAGGCCGTTGTTGTGGCCAACAAACAGGGCGCTTTTTACAACCTCGTGCTGTTGTCCACATTGGGGACCCAGGCAGCTGCGGAGCTTCTGTTGGGGACGGGTGCGGCGACAGACTCGGACGACCTGCACGAGAAGATCCTGGAGATTAGACGGCGCCACCGGGGTAATCCAGCGGCACTTGTGGATGACACCGTGCAGGCCGGAGCAGTCTTGAAGCGAAGGCTGCTCGGTGTCAATGTCAAGGCCGCGTGGCAGCGCCTCCTGGACACTGTACCCGCCAACCCGGCAAAGCCGGCAATGAAGCGGGGGCCAGAATGGCGTGCGAAATCAGGCATCATGCAGGACCTCAAAAAGGTTCCTGGGATCGGCCCTTACAGAGCGGGGCGCATCTGGTGCGCACAGACACATAAGGGAGGCCCTGGAGAGTTTGGCCAAAAGCCAGCGGTTGCACATCCGCAAGAAGAGCGGGGAGCGATGGGATCCCACCAATTGGATTGTGGAACTCCCTTCTTGATTCCAAAGGCGCTCTGACTTCTAGATTCTTAGAGACCAGTGGGACTGTGGTTCCCCTGCAGACTGCCAAAGGCATTCTGCTTCGTAGAGACGTCGAGATCCCGAGTCGATTTTTGTTCCGCGTGGATTCTAGCTATTGGGATGGCGTGCGTACATATATGTACATTAAAGGTAAATAATCAAGAGATGGAGAGAAAACGTGTCGTCTCGGTCAACCAAGCCTTGTCCACTGTAATCCTGCAGTGACTTGGCGCACACAGCTGCTTGCAGCTTTGAAAAACCAGACCTGCGGTTGGAGCCACAACACACATTGCCGGTTGGATTGTGGGACGCCAGGACTTATGACGAGAAGCTCTTTGACGACAAGGGGCAGTTGGGATTCGTCATCAGGACGGTTTGCTTTGCGTGCCCGTTGTCTGGCCCTAAACCCGGAACCGTTTTCGAACGAAGGAGCCTGGCTCCTTCGTCGCTGGATGGATGCGCGCGGTTAAAGACCAAGACCTGCGCGCGGTTAGAAAAAATATGCGCGTGGTTAAGATGTCTCGTTTTCAACGTGGTTAAGAAATCATTCCTGGTCTGTGCATGGCAATCATCAACGTCAGCAGCTACACCACGAACCACCACCACCAGCAGCAGCACCACCACCACCACAAGAACACAACCAGAATACCAATCAGCATCATCATCATCATGCATCACCAGTATCACAAATCGCCATGTTCATCGCCGCGGTGACCAGACTCAGACTCATCCTCATATGATAAAGCAGAGAGAGAAAAAAAAGGCATCGCCATCCAAACCCCTCCCGCGGCGAGGTTGCCCAAACCGTGAAGCCAGGAAGCCCAAATCCCTGAACATTGAGCCGAATCCCGACAGACCTTATTCCCAAGCCCTGGATCCTAAACCCCCTAAGGCCGAAAAGGGCTCATTGCACTTCTTAAAAAAACCTAAGGCCTACCCTAAGACCCCTAAGGCCTGAATCTGACAATCAGAAACTATCCGGTCTAGGTCCAGGTCCAGAAAGTCAGACTTGGTAGCTCAAAGTAGTCTTGTGGGTTTCTTGTTCTAACTATACGTAAAGGAGCCCAACACTCAACTCTAATAATTGAGGCCCCTACATTTTTGTTGTGCTTGGGTAGCCTAGGTTGTCCTGTCTGTCCATGCCGCCTTGGCGGATTGGGACTTGGAGGGCTCGTTGGCTGCATGGTTGCGCCTCGGCCGTGGATTCAGGGCTTAGGGGTTTAGGGGTCAGGGGTTTAGGGGTTTAGGCATGCGAGAAATGGCTGCGCCTTGGCCATTTCAGGGTTACAAGAAAAGTCTGGTTTGGAGTTAAAGACTCGCGTGGTCTCGCGGCCCAGGCTTTAGGGCTGCATGGGGCTACAGGGCCCGAAACTTGCGATTGCGAGACTGCCGGGATCGGAATTGCAAGGTTGTGTTGGGAAGGTTTAGAGTTGTCGAAAGCTTACAACATTTAAAGCCTACATCATAGGGTTTATATGCTACGCTAGAGCCCTAAACCCTGTTATCATCATTGAGGCCTCTTTTTTTTCAAAGCTCAGTTCTAGGGGTTTGGGGCATCCTACAAACAGAAACCCTTGATTCCGCTTGTCCGGCTCCGCTAACCGATCCGTTCACCAAGTCCTCAAAGTAGCGAATTAAAGCCTTGCCTTCAGTCTGTATCCCTGCCCATAGGCTCCATAGTAGTTCCTTTTCGAGGCTCATATTTAGAATCCTATAAGGTAATCCCGAAAAGGAACTGCTATGGAGCCTCTGGGAAAACCGATGCTATGTAGCTAGTTTTTGCTCCTTGCTTTTCGTATCCTTCTGTGTTTTCGGAGAGCAGGTCGTGGCTGGTAGGAAGACGGTGCGTTTAGGATTCAGGGCTATGTTTATGCAGCCGCAGTCAGAACTTCCGTAGGCTACAGGTACTTTTTGTGGATTCGGGCTTCGCGGGTCGACGAAAGCCAAGACGGAGAGAGCAACCTGATACGTGGAGGTTCATGAGTAGTTATAATGAGGGCTATAAGTAAGGTAACTATTTGTATAACCCATTCTATGGGACTGATAACCCGACTTATACCTACCCTAAATGACCTCCAGGCATCCTGAAGAAAAACCGTGCCCTCAGCCGGCCAAGCAACCGAAAAGAAGCTCGCTCTGAATAACGGACCCCAGACCCTAAACCCCACAAATTAGATCCAAGAACGCAAACTCCAAAACCCTCGACTCGAAGTGCCCAAGCCCTAGGACGCCCAAATCAGTACAGTAAATCCCATAAAGTTGGAAATCGGATAAAGGCCAAACAGTGCTGGGATTCCCTATACAGTACTCTTAAGGATTGAGGCTATTAGGAGTCCAACTTTTGGGCTTCTACCGTAGACTCGAAACCTGAAAGGCTTAAACTCCACAAACATTAACGGTTTAGGAGATTAGGAGATCCCAACACTCCACTGCTGGCTCCCCCAAGCATCGTCCGAGGAGCTGGATTAAGAAAGGGGCTGTGCAGTTGAAGAAGCCAGATTTGCACGAGCAGCTCGTCTCGTTTTTGTTGGGGGGTTTTCACTTGGAGCTTCATGGGTAGTTTTAAGTGGGGTTATAAGTCCCCGAATAAGGGTTATAAGTATAGTTACCTTACTTGTAACCCCAGTTATAAGTACCGCAAGGTTTCGGGGTTGAGGAATTTTTCAAGCAGCAGAGTCGGTCAGAGCTTCACAAGCCTTTGGGGCTCAGGGAGGGTTTAGGGTTTAGGGTAATTAATGGTCTTGAAGGTTTACGGGCTTGGGGTTTCTGACCCTAGGTACTAGGGCAATCAAGGTTTATCCTGATGGGGTCAACGGTTTGGGGTTGAGACCCAGTTGAGGGCGCATCGCCTGCCGCAGACACGCGGATTCGCAGAGTTCAGGGCAGAGGGATACTTGGAAGTTCATGGGTAGTTAAAAGTGGGGTTGCAAGTCAGGTAACCATACTTATCAGAAATGTTAGCCCTTATTAGGGGACTTATAACCACACCTATAACTACCCGCGACCTGCAGGCCCGAAGGAGAAGAGATCCGGCTCAGCAACCCTTCGGTGTAAGTCCTAGACTCTGGAACCCTTGACTGTGCTCCCAAACTCGATCCTTGTGGCATGTCCGTTGAGCTCTATGAAAAACTAGTAGCAGGTTTAGGGTTTAGCGGTGTAGGGTTCAGGGTTCAGATGAATAACTGGTACTACTATTCCTTAGGGCTCCTTCTCCTTTGGCACCGAAAGTTGTCGTTTGGCAGTGTATCTAGGCGTTTCGGGCTTTGGGTGTGCAAGGCTTCGGTTTTCCAAGGCTGTGGTCGGGTTATGGGCTGGAAGCTTCTCGAGGTGTGCATGGCTTTGGGGTTTGAGGCGTGGGCCTTAAAATGTCAGGCCTTCGGCGTGGGAGCGTTTAAGATCCCCTGCTGGGAGATTCTAAGGCAGCGTATGGAAGAGGTCCTGCGGAAGATGATGAATCTGGGAAGCACCACAAGAATCCCTCCCCTCCAGTGCTTGAAAGTGGCCTTCATCGGAGCACTAAACCCTAAACCCATTCAAAACTGGTCTTCCGTGGTGACAGTTTGACAATCGGATGGTCAAAGCTGTTCATCTTGTGTTTTATGGTTTTCTGCACGGTGACCTCCATCAACCCGTGTTGTTGATGCAGCTCCTATCTCTGGGTAGGGTATTGCACGAAGGACAGAGAGATTTCGGCCATGTCGAGTTCAGCATTATACATGCACGGCAGCTGTACGATCATGATCGTCTGAATCCCACACCGCTGCAACCGCCCTCGTAGCTGCTATGTATCCCAGCAACATTCGCGCATGTCCGAAACCCCTGAAGCCTTGAACCCTTGACCTTGAGGTTGGCTAATATCGGGTCCTGATTAAGAATCCAAGGGTCTTTCTTCGGGCTCTTTGTATGAACCCGAATATTTTGGGGTTGTAGGGCCAGGGTCTCTTAGGGTTTCTTAATCCGGTTCCTACATTATCTTACAGCGCTTCGTGGCTAAGGTGCCGGTAATACCTGCAGTGCCTGTATGCAAGCAAAGGTAGCTTTGGAAGTGAGAAAGTTTTCTGGATTTCCACAGGAAGACTTCATGCTTGTACGAAGGTCTCCGAGACGTTCCCAATTCCAAAATCCAGATGTCAGGATGGAACACTACCAGCGAGCTATACGATGCTTTGCGCACTTCATGGCCGTCGTAGTTGTGTGTTTCTTCTACCGCCTTTCGGCTGCACTTTTTCCGAAGAGGGCACCGGTTTCCGAAATGGAGACCTCAGATTTCAGGGCAGCTTAGGGTCCAATATAGAGGTTTAATCAGTACCTATACGCTTTTGGGGGTTCCTTATTATAAGTCTAGTGTTCTGGCCCCGAGACCCTATTCTAATTGTGAAGGCCCCTATATTACGTTGTAAGCTGGAACATTCAGAAGGAGCCGAAGAAAGCGTGTCCGAACCTATCGAGTTGTGAGTTGCTTGAACGATGGGCTGTCCGGCAGCACGTTACAGCTTGTTTTACCTCAATCCCCCCCGGGTTTCGTGTGACAGGCAAGCAAATCTAGGAAACATAGACCCCGAATAATTACCAACATTATTCCTCAGGCGTCAGTAATACAGCCCAAAACCCTTTCAAATAATGATTGTTACAGCCCCTATAACAAGCATTGCCGTTTGACTCTTGGCACGATATAGCTAGATTCAATTGGAAGCTCTGCACCTTAGAAACGATGCCCTGAAGCGGAACAGTGTAGGGTTTAGGGTTTAGGGCCCAAAGACCCGAAGACATTTAGAGTAGAGTAGGGTTTGGCTGGGTCTAGCATGTGCCCTGAAGACTGGCCCATTCATCAACCCCTGCAGGTAAGTTATCATCAAACTCTCTCTCTCTCCTTACCTTTGGTTAGTAGGGGATGGAAGAACGGTAGCAATAGTAGTTATAATTGTACCCCATTCCTCCATTCCCTACTAACCAAAGGTAAGTCTCTCTCTCTCTCTCTCTCTCTCTCTCGCTGTCTCTCTTTGTCGCCCTCTCACACACCCACAAGCCTGAAAGAAAACAAGCCCAAGCCAGAAGCCCGAAAAGGAAGAACTCGACCTGCCAATGAAACCGTGGGTAGGTTCGGGGTTTCATCTTCGCAGTCCCCGGATCCAAGCCCGACATCCCCTCAACAGCTTTACGCGCAATCGCAGATCTGTCAAGACAGCAGAATAGTATGGTTTCATACCTGTAAACCCAAACCGTTCAACATAGAAGAGGATCACACCTTAATTTCAGGGTACACCCCTTAGAACACTACGAAAGCTTCTAATCCGTAAACGGGCCAAAATGGAACAGCAATCTCGCTATTAGGGTTTAGGGTTATAGAGTTTAGGATTATGGCATTTAGGGTTATAGGCTTCAGGATTTGAGGGTATGTTGTGAAATGGAACTTGGCACGACCGGTAAGTCTGGTATATTTTCGAGAGGGTCCGGGGGATCACTCAGGGGAGGGCAACGTGCAGCGGCCTGAATAAGTTGTACCATTATTCCTTAGTATTTCTTCTATACATATGCGGAATAAGCAGTTATTGAGCCCGAAAACCCTGTTCGAGCTTTAGCGCCTCTCGTTTAAGCTTTCTAGGTTAAGGCACAAGCTCTTGTAAAGTTTGTCTCCCAAAGCCCAAACCCCAAACCCGCAGGCAGGGGCATCAAGTCCACAACCCAGATTAGTAGTAATGTTCCCTAGGGCTCTGTATGAAAACTTTAGTATACCCATAGGCTCCATAGTAGTTCCTGTTGGGAATACCTTATAGGACTCTAAATATGAACCCCAAAAAGGAACTACTATGGAGCCTATGGGTAATGCATCCCCAAATCCCGGTTCGTTTTTGTTCCGGTCGATGCCAGAGTGTCGAAGCTACCCGGGCAAACAGAAGCTCTGACACGGTTTAGGGTTTAGGGTTTACCGTAGCAAAGAAAACACAACTGCGAATGTAGGGGGCTGAACACTTTGTGATAGTCTTCCCAGGGTGCCTATGCCCTCTGTAAGTGATGTATGATATCCCTCAAACCCCTACGCGAGACTATGAAGGCAAGTAATTGCGGTTTCCGGAGTTTGTTAGCCGGCATCCCGAAACCACGACCCTAAGTCGGAAAGCACTCAATATCCGAGGTGTCGTGCAGCAGCCGGATTTTGTGACGTCGGTCCAGCTCCTCACAGATGATGGCTGGCTTCGGCTGCTTCTGTTTAGGTGTTCAGAGGGTTTTACCGTCACCTGTAGTAAACCCTAAACCCCTAAAGCGCAAGCCCTAAACCCCCTTGCCCTAAGCCTCGGGGAGCGGTTTCAGGCTTGGCGACTTTCACACATGGCTAGTTCTCTAAACGAGGATAGTGTTTAGCGTCCTTCTTAAGAAAAATATGCCGTATTATTTTGGGGACCTAAAAAGGGGCCCTAGTGTAGAGAAGTACCCTTTACTTGTCTCTGAAAAGGTGCGGGGCAAAAGGGCCTAGAAGTGCGCATCTTAACGCCAGGCCACTGTACTACCCCCAAAATCGTTTTGACCGATTTTCTTAAGCCCTAAAGCCTAAGCCATCCTAAGCCATTCAGGCCCCAACAATAATTATCCTTAATCCATGTTCCAAACTTTTGGAACTCACTATATATTCAGCCTTTTTCTGTCAAGCCGAAGTTCGAAATTTCGCGTGGAGATGTTGGGACTCAAAGCCATGGTTGAGGGTTTAGAGGTTTAGGTTCAGCGATCTAGGGGTTGCATCGGTTAAGGCAACTTGGTCTGGTGTCCAATGTGGAGGTCTGACTCATGGGCGTTCGCATCCCCTCATAGTCATCGTGTAATTTGCTGCAATACACAAGAATGATCTCGGCCTCTATATTCGGGTTTTGGACTATGATCGCTTGATGGGTTCACAGTCTAACGGTCATGTTGAGGATAGGGGTGATGTCAGGTGCAGGCTGTCGAGTAGAGCATGAAGCCCGGGTCCAACGTGGCAGAAAGTGTGATTTGTCACTGACGTGCGTACATGTGCTTCTGCCTTCTGGTTAGGAATCAGACCAACTTTGTCTCACTACGCAGCTTGACTGCTCAAGGACCGCTGTTGCGAGTCCCAGGAAAAGGCCGCTTACGACCTGGGGGTTGTAGGACTTGCCTCTTACCTGAGCGTCAACCTTTACGGTTTTAATCTCTGATTGTCCTGCTTTGCACCGCTTGCTTTGCTTTGATCTGCGATCGGCTGCCTTGGGCTTTGTGACCGAGAGTTGAGTGGAATCCTCCGCTTTTCACAGGTTATCAGCCGTAAGGCCTCCGCATCCGATTGTGGATTGCTGCTTCGCTGCTGCTGCTTGGCACTCGGACCGCCTGATCCAATCAGCGTCCGATCACTACCGTTTTCCTGGCTCAGACCAAGTTCGGAACTTGTGATTGGCCGCGCCACCGAGAGAATGGCGACTCCGATCGGTTCTCCCCGTGTCCCCTCGACTGTCGGTTCTTCACTAGTGACGCCAGTTGCTCGGGATGTCGTGGAGCCCGATGATAGTGCCCACGCATCTCGCTGCACTGCGCCCGCCTCGCACGCTTCGCTCGCTCGCTCTGCTTCGCTGCTTGCTTCGCCGCCTGCTGAGGACGATCAGAGAGCTCAGCACCATGCGCCGCCTTTGCCATGCTCTGCTGCTGCTTTCGCAACGCCTGGCACGATGCCCGCCGGCATGCTGCCTGCTTCTGCCACCGCTCGTGCTTTGCCTTTGTTGCCTGCCTTTTCTGCGTCCGCTGCTCCTGCTGCTTCCGCACCTACCCTTCTTCCGACCGATCTTTCAGCTTGTCCTCTGTCCCTTCGCGGGGATCCAGAGGGCGCTCGGGCCCTCTTTGGGTCCGGGCCGGACGGCCGTGGTCCACCGATTTCGGACCCGGCGTCCTTCCGCCCACCGCGCCCCGATTCCTACGGGCCGGTGGCTGGCCGCGGTGGAGCCTCGCTCCCCGACGAGCCCATGAGCGAGCATCCGGGTGCACCCCATGATTCCGTCGCAACGATTACCGCGGCGGGTCATGGTGGTGCCGCCCCCGCCATCGATAACGGCGGGTGGCATACCGGACCCTGTGCTGTCAGGGCCCTGGTCGATGAAGCCATTGGGTCAGAAGCATCCGCGCGCATCGCCACCGATATTCTGGCGATCGCGCAGGGTGTGACCAACACCCAAGCCGACCTCGATATACTGAGGAACGGCGTCTCGGACATCACCGAAGCGCTCGAGAGCAAGATCCGAGACATGTGGGAGCTTCTTCAGGCCGAGTTGAGGAAAGAGCGTGAGCTGTTCATGCAGTTCCAGGACTCTGTCCGCGAGAGGCGGATTTCTGATCACGAAACGCTTGAAGATCATTTTGCGAAGCTCACTTCGACGATCAATGATCGACTCATTGAGTTCGATGAGCGGATCCATCAATTCAACGAAAAGCGTGCTGGGTCGCTATCCATGCAGCTTGCCGAAACGATCCGCCACATCAAGCAGTACCCAGACGCGCTGCGGCAGATTCAGATCAATATCTCTAATGCCGAAGCGCGCGTTGCTGCGGTGGAGCAGAACGCTACCCACCGCATCGAAGTCATCAGATCCGAGATGAGTCGCGCTCTCTACGATCATAAGGAGGGTAACCGAGCTCATATCGATCAGCTGACTGCTCGGATCCAGCACCTCGAAAGCGCTCATGTCCGCAGAGGCGGTTCTGATAGATCAACGCCTTCGCGTCCGGAACGGACGCAGTTCTTCGATATCAGTGACCATGGTGGGGATATTCCACGCCCCGCGGACCTGCCGCCAGTTCCAGGTGCTCTATTCCCTGGCGGACCGACTACAGCCATTCCGAGGTCTTCCCTGTTGGGTCCGATCGATCACGGCTCTCCGCCGGGATGCAACGCTGCGCCTGCTGAAAAGGCTTCAACGGTTCACTCTCAGATGAGTGGAATCAATCTCGATGAAATTCTGAGGCGAGCGCAGCAACGAGTCGCTGACGAACAACCTGCCGAAAGTCGCGGGCAAAATAATCCTGTTGAGCCCGTCCGACATAATTTTGGCCAAACGTCGGCGTGTTTTTCGGGAAGATCGCCGAATCAGGCCGTTCCTTCCGCAAGCCGGAGCGACTTCCGGTCAGGCTCCGAGCCTCAGGCCATATCAAGTCGATGATGCTCTTCGCGCTGACATCCGACATGTCCCTGAAGCTCGAAGCTTCGCTCCTGAGCCCAGGTCAAGCCCGACCTTCCCATGCCAAATCTCCTATGATACTCGAACCGTCCCGGCAGGGAAGGGACCATCACGATGGTATGATGCGATGCTTGGCCGATCAAATCTCATTGGCAACAGTGCTGGCGCACCAATTCTCCATAGTGAGACCGGTACTTTTACCCTTGCGCCGAACACGAGCGTTACTGCGACGCTTCAGCATGCTGCAGCCAACGATGCCATGCCCCCGATGCCTACCTTCAGTGCCAGAACGTCCGTTCCTGCACCCAGTGCCGCGCCATCCGGGTTTGGCGGACCGCCGCCCGCGCGTAACGGAGACGGCGGTTGTTCCGGTGGTGATGGCCCCAACGATAACGGGGGTGCATATGGCGGTGGCTTCGGAGGACATGGACACCACGGATCCGGTTTTGGCCCCGGTGGCGGTGGTGGCCCACCCGACGGCCCACCTGGTGGTCCGCCTGGTGGTGGTGGCCCTCCTGACGGGAGTGGTCCGCCCGATGGCGGCCTTGATCCGCCTAGCATCAGGCCCTCCGGTCGGCCGAGTGGGAACGATACGTTCCAGTGCGAGCGCTGCACCGGAACTTTCCCGACCACCGTGCGACGGTCGTGCATATCTTGCCGATTCTCGTGCTGCAACGGATGTTGCCGAGATCCTTTGAGAATCTGTCTCGTGTGTCTTGAGAGACAGACTGGGAATCCACCTGGTCCCAACGATCCGGGATTCGGTGGACCCAAGGGCGATGGATCGCTGAGCGAGGCCAAGAAGGCAAAGTGCAAGTCCTTTCGTCTCGATCCCGAGCCGGAGCCTGCTCAGCTGCGACGCTGGATCGTCGATATGAAAGAGCGAGTCGCGAACGCATTCGCCTACGATCCCGGATACGCACTCTCATGGGTTGAGATTCCCGATGGTACACGATATGAGGATCTCCTCGATGAGTGCAAGTACGGAATGCTTGAAAACGAATGCAACTCTGCGTTCCGTGAGTGCGTCCGATCCATTGCACTGAAGAATAAGATCCAGACCGAGACCGAGCGCATGCATACGATAAACCGGCGACTCGGAAGTAGGCAAATCTTGTGGCTATTGTATGATTTCCTTCGACCACATGTCACCGGCGATTCGACTTTCAAGCTCGTTGACCTGATGAAGACCACGATTGATCGGTTTACTCATGGATCCGAGCAGGAAAGTAGGCTGGAAGCCTTCTCCAATCGGTGGGATCATGTTCTCGCTGGTATCTCAGTCGATCGCCCCGAAGATCCTGTTCTCTGCGCCCTCTTTTACGAGCAGGTGCGTGAGTTCCGCTGTCTCGAGCTCGACATGCAGCTATGGGACAGGGACGTATCCGTACGGAACTACGCATACTTGCGAACCGTCTGCGTCAATGCGATTACAACTTGGCGCCGACGACGCAATCAAGAAAAGATGTACACCGCTACAAGGTCTACTTCTGCGCAGAGACGATACGCTGCACCTGCGCATGGCAGCCCGCGCAGATCTTCATCCCGAGGTCAAAGAGGGTCAAGATCGCCTGGGCGTCGTGACTCCAGGAGAGGGAGTCCGTACCGAAGGAGCTCGCCGAGGCGCTCGTCACCCAGACGATCCTCCCCGCGACGCGGATCGCCAAGGCGATATTCCCGCAGTCCGGGACGAGCAGCTCCCGCACCGACTCGCCCGATGTCGCGATCCCCGCGAGGACGGGAAATCTGCTACGATTTCAAGAAAGGCAGATGCACGCGAGGTAGCGGATGCAAGTTCTCCCACAACCTGAAGGGAAGAAGCTCCTCGCCAAAGGGTTTCCCGCCTCGATCCCAGTCACCGATATCAAAGGAGTCTGGCATATGCTTCTACTATGCCCGTGGATCTTGCACAAGAGGTGATAAGTGTCCGTATAAGCATGTGAAGCCTGGTGCTCCTGCTGAGAGCACTTCTGTTGCCGCTCCTGCGCCTGCTGAGCCCG